TACTAAGGGAGATTGAGGATTTTTTTTAACGTTTCCTTATAAAATTAAGAAATTGTAACTTGTATAATATTAAAATTTGATTCATTAACTATGTTTTGATGCCAAATTTATTTGTATACAATAAAATAAAGTAGTTAAATTTTAATGTAACTCTCCAAAATGTCATGACATGCACACTTTGACATACCTGACGCTAGAGCATTAATAAAGATGGGAATCCACTCAATGGCATTACTGAACAAAAGGATCTTCGTATAGTGGTGATCACTTAAGCCCTCGAGGCATTGCTTAATTGTTAGTGATAAAGCTAGTGGAATTTGAGGATATATTTACAAACATGTTGATTTGAAGTCAAATTATCTCTTGTATAAGTTACTAGTTAGGGTTCACTTGATGTACTGTGTACAGTTTTGATCTCCTTATCTAAGAAAATAAAAAAAGAAGAGTTTACAGGTGTTGTCTCACAGGAATATCTTTACTTTATTCCTCTTGAAAAGAGGCTTATTGAATGAGTTGGCATCAGCAGTAGTGAAAGATGGCACCTTACACACATTTAAGGTAGGAATGAATGAATTCCGAAAAAATAATAGGTGGATTTAATTTTTTACTTTTCTTCCTCTCATAGGTGGGTATGCAAGGAAAGCTTGAAAGACAAAATGTTTATTTATAATACTGAAGATAATTTTTTTTTATTTGTTTCAGTGTAAAGTTCAATATATAACTTTTGAATTAAACCGTTTTGGTCATTATTCTTAAAACAGAATAGTTTGTATGAAGATTTCAACCTTTTTTGGATATCAAATACACAAATCTTATTTTCAACCATTATAACATAATAAACTTTTGTATGAAGTTGGGTACTTGTTTTCTAACTGAAATATTTTAATATTGTATATCACAGATCCATTAACACAAAGTTTTTGAAATCCATAAAGCATTTGTTGTACTTGTCACCAGTGGCATCATAAAAATATCATTATTTGTGTGTGACAAAATTAGCTTTTTCCAGTTAAAGTCCAAATGTGTAGAGGCAAAAAGCAACAACATAGAGCTTGTGCTATTAATAAAGTTTCAATTTACTAATAATAATAAAAAAATATTGTCTTTTATATGCTTATTAGATTTTTTTTATATAGTCCATATAAATATCATTTAATGAAAAAAAGTGTTACTATTTTTATTCTTATTTCTCTCCCATGTTGCAAAGCTAACATATATAATTGCAATTTATCATACTCAACTTGTTGTCAAGGAATTATGACAAAAAGTCTCATTCATCAGCAGAAATTTCTCAACCTGAACATAAATAAAACTACTAACTATGCTCGCATACTTTCGTGGGTGAAAACATTCAAATAGCAATACATCTTTTTGGCAGCCCACTTTTATGTGGGGCAGAACTTTATGTTTGTGAAGGGTAATGGACAAGTTCCTACGTTAAGCAATTCTCAACCTTTTTGATACCAGGAAGCAGCTCGCTGCCTCCTTAAATTGTCGGGAAATAACAAAAAACCATTACGATTTACTTGTGAATATTCTATCAGTTTTTGTGAAATTCCACAGACCGGCAAGACGTTTGTGATGGACTGGCACCAGTCCATGGAACAGTGGTTGAGAAACACTACATATGAAAAGATATGGAACTTTTAAATAGGTTTTATAGAACCAAATGTTATATAGTATGGTTCACAAATATCACCCATTTAAATCTAATCCTAAAAGTGTTAATCAAGTAACATTTCACCAAAGGTTTTCAGATGTAAATGTACTTTTTGTAATACAGTTTAATGTTACTAATAACTTGATACTGTGCTTATATATATATATATATATATAAGTTCAATATACAT